TTGGACCCCCTCTTTTTTAAACAAAATTCTAGAGCTGCCGAGATAAGTGTTCAAGGGAATGAGAAATGAAATGTAATTCATTTGTAGACCTACACGAATATTACAGAGTTTCAATACATTAAACTTCATGCTAGTGTAATATTTAAAGCAAACTTCAAAATTCACTACTGGAAATTCACAAAGAATAGGAATTGCTTGGTTTTTGTTTTGCTTTATCTTTCAGTCTGCATTCTTTTTATCTGGGTATTTCCTAATGACAACATTCTTGGCATCAGAAACCCATTGCACTTTGAAACTTCAATAAAGTAATGAGCTTTTTATGACACTGAAAATGCAGAATATTTGACATTGGTTTAGGGCTAATGAGCATTGTATTTGGCCAGTCAACATTGCTTGATAAGAGTTCTCTGTTGAACTTACATGCCGTTCCTTGCCAACGGAGTATGGTTTGCAACTTGTGTGAACAGTTTAATGTAAGTTTACCACAATATTGGTAAAGAGATGGCCAGAGGCTGCACTTAAATGTAGGAGTAAAAAAAAAAGTTGCTACTTTTTCCCCAATTTGAATTACCGGTAGTTCTGTATGATGTTACCATGCACAGTAATGTAGGCTTACATTGCTTAGTTTGTCACTGATTTGGAATGAAATTGATATTCCTCTTGCGTAGAAATTTTACAATAAACAATGTAGATTAATATTCAGATGGAATACAAAACGTGTATATACAGCTCTCATTATACATGTTCATAATTACATACAGCTCAAATACAAAGATGAGAGGGAAAAAATGAAGGGGGTGTATTCAAACAAATGTTAGACAGGGGTTAGCAAGTTGATTTGAGTTTGTATCTCTTTTAATATAACATGTCCTTATAAAATGTTGAATATTGAAAATGTATGCTTCATGTAAAGCCTTACATGTGTATATATGTACTGAATTATTCATAATGCAATATTGGTGAATTGTACATTTCAACATTGTACCATAGAAAGTTGAGGGATGACATCACCCTTTAAGAAATGTCTTAATGAGTTGGTAATGTGACCTCGAGTCTTTCACGGAACAACTTCTAAGCTTCCTTTTGAATTTACTCACCGGTTTCTCTTTTACAATCATCGTTACTTCCCATTGAGAATAAAAATAGTTCATTATTGTCCACGAGATACCAACTCCTACACAAAATCCAATAACTTTGGTGGCCCATGACTCACCCAACCCCAGAATGCAGGACTTTTTGTATCCAAGTATTGATTTGCTGAGAAGTGAAATTCTATTGGGATTAGAGCAGCGATTAAAACGGGTTATTAAGTCAGCAAGTGTCATGTGCAAGACAAAAACAACTCGCTGGGTTATGCCCCAGTTTCGATTTCAGCCGCGGAGAAAGTAAAGCGGGGTAGCAATCAATACATACCTGTGCTCATCATTGCTGGCTTGGAAAATTGAGCATTGTGACGAGATCGCTGCTCAAGATTGACTTCTTATTAAACCAGCAATCATATTAAGGGAATTTGTGAAATCCCATTGTGGGAGCTGTTGTGGGGGCGTGAAGCAGCGACCCAAAAGCTTTCCTCAGTTTTAATCAAAGAGTCTTATCACAGGAACTCTTTGCTTAGGGAGAACTAAAGAAACTTTGTTACCCCAATCCCTGATGGTCCTGTCTGTATAGTATAGCTTACCTCTCCTTTCTCACTTCATCCTCCTTCTCTTTTTCACCTTCCCTCGCTCTCTTTCTCTTTCACTTATACCTTCCCCTATCATAGAGGCCATACCCTATGCTGAACAACCATTTTTTCATTACACTGTGGTTTTGTTTTCTTTTTGAGGCTTGTATTTCTATTAATCCGTCAAGACCTGGTAGGGGTGTATTCTTTGCCCCTTTTGTTGTCCATACCAGCTACCCTCACCTCTCCCTCAACCCCCTGCATGGCTGCTTACCAGTATACAGGTCTATTCACTCTGTTTAGAGACACATTCTGCGTTGCCTGTTTAGCCACAGCCTGCATGGAGTCTCCACGAGGACAGAAAAGGCAGAGCATGGATTCTTTTCCACGTTTTGAAAAGGCAATGGGCACCGACCGAGAAGAGAAATAAAAGACAAGATAAATGAGGAAATTCTTCTGATCCTTCCTAATCCCATACTGGCATACTTCCCTTGCTTGCTCTTTTATTGTAAGTTTTCAGAGCTCAGAGAGGAAAAAAACCAGACCTGCAAGGTTGTTTTTATTAGTCATTTTGTTCCCTCTTTCTTACTCTTATGGTCTTCTTAATCCAGCCCCCACCCCCCACCCCCTCCCCCTCCCCCCCCCAAAAAAAAGGTCATCATCTACTTAATGATCAAAGAAGACTGCAGAAACAGTCGAGAGCACATGCATACAAAAAGGCCTACTGTATAACCATAACCATTTCTTATGCATGTTTGTGTAGCTTCTTCATAATAGTTGCTGAGAACCAGAAGGGTATATTGCCTGATGTAAAATGCTACTTACATGTACATGAACAACTTTTTAGTCCGAAAAGGCATTAATTCTGTGTTATTGTATATGAGTTAGAAATCCTGTTGGTTCCAAACAAACCCATGTTGCTACATGTACACTGTAGCTCTGTAGTCTTCTTCTTTTTTTTTTTTTCTTTTTTTTTTGCGGGGGTGGGGGGGGGGGGGAGGTTGATATTTGCCTTTCATTGATTCATTAGGGATATTCTCAAAGTAATGATTGCTGGTAAGTTAATCGTAAAGAACATACTATTTACTCACATAAATGAAGCTATACATTTGAGAAAGGAGCTTTGTTGCACAGAATGTTCCTCAAACAAAATCTCATGGACACTGAATAGATACTAGTGTACTAAAATCCCCCTGTATGGTCGCACAATTGTTTATTTCCTTTTGTCACTGGATAAGAAATCTCTCCCAGCTCAGGAAGAAAGAAAGAAATGGACAAGTGTCAGGATTTGAAGAAAAAAAGGAATTTTCTCTTTTGTCAGATCCCTTTCTTTCTTCTCGGTATTAGCTTTTAGCTTTTCTTTACCAATTGTACTTCTACACTTCCAATCAACTCCCCTTGGATATTATACAAACAAAACATTATTCTCCATTGAATAATAGGATCCAACAATAATCATGCTCATAGCAGAAATTCTTTCCCTTTTTGGCACTTCCTAATCCCCATTTACAGGGGGAAACTCAGGGGGGCAAGCCTGACCCCGTTTGTATCTTCTAAATAAAGAGCCTTGTCTTCTCCACAATAGAGCAAGACAAGAAGATGGTTAGCAAATAAGGATGGTATTGTTGGTTGGGAATCAGCTTAAAGCTTGATTTTTGTATTTTTCAATATAGGGTGGGGGCATGTTGTGCATCCGTCACATTACATTGCAGGCAGGAGGTACATTCACATTGCATTCTGGCAACAAAACAGTTGTGTTGCTTTTTTGAGGCTGATCTACTTATAATCAAACATACATACATGTACATAAAGTCCCTATAATTCCAATATTTCATCAGCATTTCCTTCTTAAAACCATTTGAAAAAGAACTCATACATTTATGATTATCCCAGTAGATATTTTTCTTTAAAGTTTTCTTTACTTTACCATATTTGGTGCTGTGACTTCGAAATATTCACACATTCATATGATAGAAAATAAAAGGTATTTATAATTTTGTATCGTGGTAATATGTTTAGACACCTGTTAGCATTGACATGAACCTTTATTTTCATCACTCATTTAGAGATAAGTTATAACTCATCTGCACTTTACCTCTTATCCCTTGGAAATTATGAACTGTACCTTTTAATTTATTAGAAGTTTAAAATTCAAGAAATCATTTGTAGGAAACCTTCCCAGGTGAAAAATCATTGTGAGTGGATGTGTAATAATACTGCATTCTTTCTTTAAAAATGGAGTTTTGAGGGAGCTTTTTCTTGGCCCGGTTTCTGCAACCTTGCCATTCTGATCTGATGAATATACTATGCATAATTAAGTAGGACGTAGTTACTGCAATACCAGAATCTTGCATGTGCATGGAATATATGAGTGGTTTAGATTTGCAAAATAATTGGATCACTATCGACACAACCCTGAATCGCTATTCAAACTATACATATTTTGTTGAGAAATGCCGAGAGCTAATTGGTTTAATATCCGAAGCTCTAGCTAATGGAAAAGCGACTCTCAAGTTGTAAATCCCGCTTCTGTCCGTCTCCTGCTGGTTTCAATGGGCAGGTTACCTGTTTTCACACCCACCTCCATGTGAACATATCCGTTTCATTAAAAATTGACACTTTAGAGCTTCGCAGAGGAATGTTATTTCATTTCTATTGTAGCCGTCCAAATTGGACTCACCTGCTAACAAAGGGCGAACGCTTTTACTCATAGTGATAAAGTGATAATGTGTTCTCTTTCTCCCGCCTTCTCTCTCTCTCTCTCTCTCTCTATCTCTCATTATTATTCATGATGCCCACAAATCATACATGAAAGGATTATGTATATTGTAGATATAAGATAAATAATTATGTTTAAAACCCTACACCGTATTTCCTTTTGATTGTATACTCCAATTCTATCCAATAAATAATATCTCTGTAAATGAATGTACATACCGGTATCTGCCAACTTTTCTTCCGCATGTACATATTCTTTGTCTTACAAGTTACAGAGTGCTTTTAAATAGACAGGTTTACTTGCATGTTCAAATTTATGGATGTTTCTTTCCTGGGGACCTAGTGAGGAGGGAAAACATTAACCTGTTCTTAACGTATAAGCTACAATACTTGGAATCCAGTCTGCATACATAACTTGTTGCTTTGTCAGGCAAGCCTTGGGTAAGCCTTCAGGTTGTCAACAACGTTTGTTTAAAAAATATGGATAAAATTTGAATATATGTTTGTATTTTACCATTGTATTGTACATAAACATACTTTCACATATCATTGTGATGGTTATCATTTTAATGTTACCGTTTTCATGTTCATTTTGTATTTCTCTCTCTCTCTTCTTCAGCTCAAGATTTAAAAGTCTGTAGGACGGGGATGTCCTGTTGTACTGCGTCCCTGGAGAGGGAGCTCATCAACCAAGCAAAGCTAGACTTTCATACCAGTCTTCAAACATCCACCATGTTCCTCAAGTATACCCTGGCGACCAGTGCAGTAGATTTCAGAAGTAAGCATTTACAGTTTTACTCTTCGTTGATAATGTATAGTTATTTCATTTTTCATTTTGTTTCATTTATTTTAATTTCCAATCGTAAATAAAACAATATAACATCATGACATGGGCAGGGTATGGTTGATAATCCCAAACAAAATTAAACAAACTTGCAGTAAATGAATATACAACAAGATATAGATCATAAAGAGCCAAGAATTATGTAATTTTTTCCATAATGTACAAGAAATTGCATTATTTTGTTTTCCCTTCTATTACCAAACACTGGAACAAACAACTTACATTTACATTGTGCACATTTTCATCCCAGACATGTCAAAAGATGGTCAAGATGCTTTCAAAGTATCATTATTATTCAGACTTTAGCTCAGCTGTCCTAAGGCACCCAAAGCATGCTTCTAATGACTTCCTACCAGGTACCCATTTACTACACCTGGGTTTAGAGTGGCAAGTTTAGATCAATACCTTGCCATAGGACTTGTATAAATGTGGGGTTTTAGGCTGCTATACTTTCATGTTTTCCAACCGACTTCCTGTAGCTTACATGTACATATGTAGCCTTAGAGTATGTACTTTACTTTTATTTGGGCAAGATCAAGTTTTGAACCCCCAATAGTACCTTCGAATTTTCTTTGAACCGTGAGAAAATAATAATCCAGGAAATACGATACTGGGGGTTATCACGAAGGGAAAATAATAATGCTTATGCAAAAGGTTTCTCAGAAAAGAAAGGGGGGAAAAAACAGTGGGCACTACTTTTGAAGGGTTGGCAGAGTTCCTAACCACTATTTCTTCAGAAACATAATAATTTTGAAAATAACATTTTTTTTTGTCACTACAATCATAATAACACTCAATGTAAACTCACATCTATTTTGTGAAAAATGGGATGTTTTCTGCTATTGATTACATTTTTGTATTTGTAAGTTGTAACTAATTTGTTGTTGAACTCCAAATTGTTGGTGTTTTGATTATTGTCGGCTCCTTTTGATGATGCAAACCCTCATTTAACACTTTATGAATCCCCAAAAGGAAGCCTATAATTACATACTAAACATATTTTCACTTGCTGAATGCATTGTGTTCATCAGTTCATAAACACATCATCTGTGGAGCCAGAAAGGCAGTAACTGATATACTTCAACACTGAGTGAATGCCCTTCTTGCTCTGAACACATATTGTATAAACCTTATCATACATTGTATGTTTTTGGCTTGAGCTCTTTGGTGTAGATACCCCAATATTTGCCTGAGGGGAGGAATATTCAGGCCTAAACTTCACCTCTTCATGTGGGTTGTTGTTTATTTAATTTCTAAGAAGGGGGTGCTGCTTTGGTAATTCCCTGGGGTATGAATGGTGTTGATGGTTTATTGATTGGATTAAACTATGGATGATTGGATTAACTCTGTTTATCTGTCTGGCTATGTAGACTATACTGATTAAAACCATAACCTCTCTCTCTCTCTCTCTCTCATTTTACTCTCAATATCTTTCAATATCTTTCTCTCCCTCTCTCTCTCTCCCATTCTCTTATCCAATTTTATTCCTTTCATTCTCTCTCTCCTACCTTTTACTCTCTCTCTCTCTCTCTCTCTCTCTCTCTCTCTCTCTTTCGCTCTCTTTCCTCGCATTCTCTCGCCGTTCCCTCCCTCTGTATCTCTGCCCCTACACTTTCTCTTTCTCTCTCCCTTCCTCTCTCTCCCTTCCATCCCCCACCTCTGCCCTACTTTCTCCTATCTCTTCAATTTCCTCTATATCCCTCAAGGGATTTATTTTGTCTCTTTTTCATGAGCGAAACATTAAGATACACAAGGAAACTGTACTTTTTTAACCAAAGAAACAAATGATATCTGTATAGTAAACGAGATGTACTCACAAGAAAATATGTAAAAAAAAAACAGTGTAAAACGTGTTGGTAAGGAGAGATAGTGCACAATCGTATACACAGTTCTCAAATGATAGGAAAGGGTTTTGATTTTGAATCTCGATAAGGAACTCTATATAAGAAGTCAATTTGAAAATAATTGAATTCTCTAAGAGTGGGGATTTAAAGTCCATCAATAATTTCTCACTTGCTTCTTTAAGAGGGTGCTGTACCGAAACACAATTTACTTCATTCAAAGTTTCCTCTCCCAACTTCCAAAGAATAAGGAGTGCAATTTTACTGTTACCGAAAAGTTACAAGAAAGGCGACCAGCCGAGAACAATAGATCGGCTCTCAAGGCCTGCCGCGATAATCAACATTTTAGCCCCAAGTAAGAGATTACAATTACTCTCATTTACGTTGCGTCTTTTCTTCAAACTCAGTAGCTTCTCTTGTGTAATGTTTCCTATTATCACCCTCTATTCATACCCTATTTCAATCCACATACTTTCCTCGCGCTGGCCTCCGGTCATAAAATGTGTCTGGCTCCGGCTTTTCCTTTTCGGAGTGGTCATTTTTCTTTCTTCATATTGATGCATCTATAGCAGGATATAGCAAACATACCTGTGCCTTCTTTCTTTCATAATTTTGAAACCCCTTTGAAACCTCCTACTCGCCAACGTTTTATTATATTCATAGTGTTTGCCTCCGTCATCAAGAGCTATTCTAAGTCCTTCATGAAGCAGTCTGAGGTTTTGTCTGTCTCATGGTCACTTGCTAAAGTTAACTGGTTATTTATCCATGTCACTATAATCCCTAATGTCATTCAAGAATCGTCAAACTGGCCGGACATTGCAGACCACTGTGAAATATTGAAAAGAAAACGATGACGCAAAGAACGATGAAAAGGGGGGGGGGGGGGAGAACAGTCAACCTCTTTTTTAGGCTTTTGATGAAAAGGTCTGAAACCTCATGGCTGTTGGAAAATATTAATGAACAAAGTCTTTATTGTTCACTTTCCATCTATCATTTGCTCTTTCTCTATCTCGTTTTGTCTGATTGTGTATCCCCTCCCTCACTCTTTCTCTTTCTCTCTTCTGCCTTCCGGTCTTTTCTCTGTTTATTTTCACTTTCATCAATATTGCCCTCATCATGAATCCTTTCATTGATGTGTCAATTTCCCTGTTCCATTTTCCTTCTCACTTACCATTTATCTTCTACTCTGTGACAAGTGAGTGTATAATTGTTGTGGCGTTGTTTTCTTGCCCCCTCCCTACAACAACAACAACAACAACAACAACAACAAGAAAAACAATATCCCATGTGCCCTCCTGCAAAAAGTCCTGGCTCCTTTATGTTGCAATGATCTTAAGTTAACCAATTGAATGCATTATATAAACAACATCTTGAAAGTATTTGGGAAAAAGTAGTCTCTCTATTTTAAGAAATTGGAGGGTTGAATGTCAAAACATTCTTGACAGAAAAATACTCGAGAAGATTTAGAATTCTGAAAAAGAAAATATGCAGGTTATACTTTTGAAATTATGTATTAGTAGGCCTTTGCTTGAACTGCAGGCATATCTGTAGGTATTGATATGAGAAGAGGTGTAAAGATTTCTTTAAAAAAAAGAAAATAAACAAGTTATACCTTTGAACATGACCTTTCACAGTATGGTATGTTTTCAGTCAGGAAGGGATTATTTTTTATCAAAGTCTTGGCTCTGCCTTGATCTAGATATTGAGGTGAGAGCGTTATGTCTCATGTCTGTCATCACCGCTGGTCACCCATGTTGAGGGTTGGTGGAATATGTGTTCAGCTGGGCTGGATGTAAATAAACAATAAATGTGAGGAGTTGTATTGAAATGAATGGAGAAAAAATGGAAGAATGACACTTTTTTCTATCTTCTCGAGTTATGACAACCTTTGAGAAATATGATGGCCATCGCATAGTGTAATTCTGTTTCTTGTTGCATTTCTGAATGCATGGATGATATCCTTCTATTTCAGTATTTATCAATTCAATTTTGTCATTTACATGAAAACTACAACTAGATAAACTATACTTTATAGTTGTTGCATGTCTTCTGAAGCAAAAAAGGTTTACATTTAACATTTGTAGATACCGGTAACTGGTTTGTCAGAACTTTTACAAATCGTATCTCTGTCAAGTACTTTTTATTATACATAAATGTATTTACAGGGCTATCAAGGTAATGTGGAATATAACTAGAGAGACAATGATATGGTACATAAAAAGGATGTAACAGTAGATCCTCATTCAAGCAACTAATGACCAGTCACCAGTGATATAGAGAATTAACTCACATGAATCTCCAAAGTACAGGGGGATGTGTTTCTTGCCAAGAAATGATACATGATACAAGACCTTGCAATCAAAGTGTGACTGTCAACGTGACTTCATAAACATCTGAAAAATCTCCTCACCCCACCTTTGTGCCCCCAGACCTGTTAGGGGGGCGGGTAGCACTGTGTTCTATTTCTATACTGCCTGTTGATGTCGAGTGCCAGAAGGGTGTTAACTCTTATAATTTTACACAGAGGTAATGCCCTTCTGGCTCTAAACAGACTATATTATTCTTGAACTTTGTTTTAGATTCATTCATATGAACTTTTAGCGCCCTTCTGAGTCTCAACACAGAATATAAATATTCCTTCTGTTTGGCGACAAAAGGGCATTAATTGGTATACATTTTCACAGAGTCAACGATCCTTGAAATTGTTTCAAATTCATGCACTTTAACAATTTAGTTATTCCACTAGAAGAGCATTTTGACCATCAGTATTGCCTCATAGCATCAGTATGAAAGGGGTGTGGTAGATCTTTATCCAGCGGAGAGATGACAGATTGAAAGGCTATCCCCTTCTCACCTTCCTACTCTTATAACAGATGGGTGTAGGGTGACAAATTGGATAATTAATTGATGCCCAATTATACCAGAGTGGATGCTAGATGAATAGTGTAAATGTCTGTCCGCGGGTTCATGGACTTTTCCATCCATCTGCGAGGGAGTAGAGGTTGTTTTGCACTTGTGCGGTTAGGCACATGTAGTCAGTAGGTGGTCAAAGGTAATTTGTTTGGCCCTATAATGCATGTACCTGCAGTATGT